ACTTCCCTTCTCTCTCCGGAGTCCCGCGTCCCCTGGTCATCACCCAGCCCAAGGAGCCATTGCTCTCTGTCCTGATTCCAAACCCTGCTTGAGATCCTGCATATCTAGTCTGCCAGGTCTGAGCTTGTTACTCAGCCAGCTGGCAGGAAGGACACACACACACACACACACACGCACACGCACTCCATTACAGTTATCAACAAAATATCTCCAGAGAAAGAGACAGGCCCAAGTTCTGTCACACGGCCTAGGTAGGGGCATGGTGGGCAAGACAAAGCTGGCTGTGGGAAGGACAGGCAGATGGCCAGAGCATGAATGGGTGGGAAGCGTTTTGTCCTAGGTACATATCTTGTCTCCCCATCATATTGGGAGTCATCTCTGAGAGTGCAGGCTGCAGTGCCTCGTCCCCATCAGACAGGACCTGTGGATTTATAGACAGCTGAGTTTCCAGAGCTGGGAGGAAATGAAGACTTCTCAGTTAGGGAACTTCTCAAGAGCCAGAACTGGGTTGGGGTCTTCTCCTAGGGTCAGGCCTACACTTCCAGGGCTCAGGAAGATGTGAGGGCCTGAGAAACCAGGAGGCCGGGTCTAGGGCACACTTACAGCAGAAGCCAGCTGCCCTCCTAGGCTGGCTGAGGAGCTGGGCTGAGCCCTTCGCAGGCTGGGATTGGCTGCCTCCTGCCACTAGACTCTTACCCCACAAAATAACTCAGCTCTGCCAGCCCCTCCCTTCCCCACAAGTGCTGCCTTCCCTAGGTCTTGAGGTCTGTCCCCACCTGCCTACATAGTTCTGCTCCCGCAGGCCTCTTAAGATCTGGACTTTCTGCACCAAGGGGCCTGGGGAGCGGTTCTCTGTTCTCTGAACTTTATTTCTCTAACTGCCACTGAGGCTTCTCTCACGCAAGCCTTTTCCTCAGGTGGCTGACAGTGCGGTGACCCAACTCCTCTCCCAACTCCAACCTCTCGATGGAGATGAGGAGGAAAGGCTACATAAATGTGAGCAGCCTGTTCTTTCCCACACTCTGAGGAAGAGGCTCAGCACCTGCCCCTAGGGAGAGTCACCCTCAAAAGGACACAACCCTTTTCCTGGGGGGAGGCCCAAGGCTGCAGAGAGACAGGAGCGGGACAAGGCCCCATCAGTGCCTACCTGTAGAGTACAGTGTTTTGGTGGCTAGGATGGTGGTTGACAGTTGAAGGTTCTGGGAGGAGGGGGAGCGGTACCCCACCCCCACCTGGAACTCTCCAGTTGCAGTGGGATTCCTAGATCAGTGGCACGTTTTAACAGCTACCTCCCTCTTTTCTACTCTTTGCCACTGGTCCCCCACAGGCTGGCACTGTCGATAATCTAGCCCCTTTCAATCTGCCCGATCCCCACCCACCAGCTTGAGGGCCATCTCCCTGCAGGGATGGGAGACTCAGTCCCTCCCATTCAAGGTGGCCACTAAAAATAAATGAAGGGCTCTTATCAACCAA